GAGCCCCCGACACCTGAGAAGCAGAATGCAAATTCTCCGATGGGTACCGAGCATACGCCCCTCGAGTAGAAGGAACCGGACGAGGCTTGGGCTCAGTCTTGGGCACCCCGATGGAGGCCCTCAGTGGAAAAATCGGCCTCGATTTTGCGTTTTTCGTGGACCTGGCACTCACGGGATGCAAGCTTGTAGCTCGACCACCTCCAGCACTGAGTGTGGCTGGGCGAGCTAAGGGAGCCGGCTTGGGATGCAAGGCAGCCTCCATCGTGAAAACGGAATGCTCCTGTTGAGACAATGCCGGCAGCAACGGTGGCTCCACCTCCCTGACAGTCTCTTCAAAGGAAAGACGGCCCACACGAAGTGGGGAGAAGCGAGAGGATACCGTAGAGCAGAAAGCAGGAGTATGCTCAGGCACTGGCGAAATCACGTCCCAAGAAATTGAACCCGAATGCTCAGCAGAAGCTGCCACAGTCTGTGCCAAAGAAGCTTCTAATGGATCTACCAGCTCAAAATCAGGGTCATATATTGGTGAAGGGGGTCGCGACCCAAATGAAAGACCTTCAGGGTCCAGCTGTGGCCCATGCAGATCATCAAGGCCAGCGACGACCAACTCCGGGAGTAATGGAGCCTCATGATCAGCTTCCTGTGCAGATAAAGCCAATGCGGGGTGCAATGGATCCACCTCCAGGTCACCCTGAGAAGAAGCAACCACTGCATCAAGAACCAAGGCAGAAGGCGATGCCTCCAAGATAGGCGAACATTCCTGCTGAGACGAAGACCGCTTCTGAAATCGCTTGACAATGCAACGAGTCTGATCAGAAATCGCAATGTCGTTTCCAAGTGAAGCAAATGCATCAGTCTCAGGCACTGACGAGTCACTCACAGGCACTGACTGATCCATAATGCAAATGAAATGCCAAATGCACCAGCAAATCAGAAAGGCCAGGCTGCCTGAAACCATGCACTCCTCCCCCTATCGCGAGCGGGAGAGGAATGGAGTGGAACTAAATCCACAAAAGTTGAGAGCCTCCAGAACTGTTCTAGAGGGCTTACAAGGCGAGGCCCGTTAGCCTACAAAAGTTTCTGCCCGCTATGCAGGCGAGCTGGCAGCTGCGAGCCTGCTTGCTGCAATGCACATGGAATGTCATGAGTGCAGCAAGCATGCAAAACATTACCAAACACTCGTGAGCAAGCACACATACCAGACTCCACAGCCGAGGACACCGAGCAGAGTGCAGTTGGATCTGGCGCAAAGGCAAAGCGGAAAGCTCAGCGCCTCTGGCGGGACCTCGCCGCCTTGTCGAATAGTCGCCGATAGTGCAGGCTCGGCGGCCAGAACACCTGGCAATGGTCTGGTATAGCTAAGTGGTGACGGACCTCGTGAGACACGTCGCTTCACCTCTTGAGGAGTCTCCAGGTGATGCCGCGGCAACCGACGACATACGTCGTTGAGGTTCATTCATTCTCTTTGCTGCTCTTGTTCTGGCACGACGACCGCCTGAGTCTTGTTTGGGACGGTGTGCACTTTCGCGATGGCTGCCTTTGGCCGCTGCTTACCCTTGCAGTGGGGAATGGAGGGGGGGGCCTTGGCTGCGCTTTCCGGTTGTTGTGGCGCAATTTCGTCGTCTGGTGGTGACGGACCCCCAAAAGTTGGTCGGGTCGTCTCTGACCGACAATGCTTTCTTGTTGGAGCCGCTGTAACCGACGACATACGTCGTTGAGGTTCTTCTCCCTCCTTGTTACTCCTGAGTGGGAGCTACAACCACTACGTGGGAACCTGGGCCCTGGGTGCACGCTCTACTTGGGCGACCCATTCTTGGGACTTTAAGGCGTTCCTCCGCTTGCGCTGCACTGGGTTTCGACACACAACAAGTTATTCCCACGGTCTACATCCTGCCCGGCAGCGTGCTGTGGCAGCGATTGGTGGCCGTCGGTCATTGCATCCAAGACGCCACTGTTTGCACACTGAGGATCATTCGGTTTCGCCCTTCGGTGTGCGTTCGCATCTGGCCGGCTTTGAGTTGCACGACTCTGGCCACCGCATCAGGTCTGGAAGCCGCTCACCGCAGGGAGCATTGGACTTTTGGATTTTGGTGTGCACGATCGTGACGGAACAAGACACAGGGGCTGTCCGTTGTCTGGCGAGACTAGAACGGCTGCCGGAGCTTGGTCTTGGCTCCACCTGTTGTTTTGGGCGGCACAGAGCGACGGCTCTTTGTTGCTCCGGACCGGTCGCTGAAGCTCCGTAGTTAGCGCTGAACGGCCAACACAGGTTAAACCCGTGCGCCGCAGCCCATTCGTAGAGCTTCTTTTCTGTTTCACCGCTTTGTTGTAGTTAGTTTGTTTGTCGTCTGATTGTTTGTAGGGACCGAGTGCTACAGCCGTAGTCGACGAGGCCCAGTCAAGCCAAAAAATGGAGTCGGCGGCTAAGGGTAGGGAAGCCTGTAGGACCACCCAAAACACTGGAAATGCGCAGTAGGAGGCATTGGGAAGTGATCTGTGGGGCAGGGTTTGGAATGCAAAAGGGGGTTTAGGGAAGGATCTGCAGAGTTTAGGGCAGGATCTGTAAGGCAGGATTTGGGGGAGGGTCCGCAAGCAGGCGTTTGGAGGAGCATACACGAAAAACATGAGGGGTGGCATGTGCACAAAATTGTAGGGTAGTTTATCTACAAGTTTACGGGCGCCTTGGCCATGCGAGGGTTTAGGGAAAGATCAGGGAGGACTTCGGGGAGGATCTATAACGAGACTTTATGAAGGAGTTATGGTTTTTATCGAGTGCAGCAGCAGTCAGTCATTGACAGTCTTCTTGTTTGCATATTCAGAAACCTCCCCCCCGCCCCCAATTTCAATGTGTGCCGCAATGTGTGCCGCAATGCTCATTGGGCGCTTCTATGTAAACATTGAATTTGGGGGGAGCGGGGGGTCTGGAAGGTTTCAAGATTTGTGGACAAACAATTCCAAAATTGTACTATCGCGCGAGGCCATTTTCAGTGTTCGAAAAACCACGAAAACTGTAGGACGCATTAAGGTACCCCCATAGTCAGTTGCCGCCTTGCTTGCCATGCTGTGGTATTTATGACAAGTAGTTGTCATGACATCATGGTCAACAGTCTCAAGCTGACCACGCACAGACCCCGCGCATAGCTACAAGGTTGTTTTTCGAGCAAAGTTCCAATCCAATTGGGAGCGTCTTTGTCCAAAGGTTTTCGATCCATTCTAGAGCCCATTTTCGAGCTCCAAAAACGAAGCCCAAAATGGGGTCTCCCCTAATAGTTTCCAATCAGGCGGTCTCAGCTTTGGGAACCAATTTTTGGCCTCAAAATGGGGACCAACCCGAGCTCAAAAACTGCGGAATTCTGCGAGGGAGACGTGTTTGAAGCTTTACCAAAGTTTTGCCCGACATGCGGCGACCAGTGTCGCGAGCGACCGCGTCTGTTGAAATCAATCAAAACGCTCCGTTGCTACCCTGGTGATTGGGCTTGTGCTGCTTAAGCACCGTTGTTTGCCACTGTAACAGTACGCAACTGTTGCAGGGCTTGAGGGGGGGAGAGCTGAACAACCTCGAACCAGTGCATTAAAGTCTGTATCGGGATAGTGCCCAGCGATGACAAGTTTGAAACGCATAGTAGTGTTAGCGTTTTTGGTTCACTGGTTCGCTGCTTCGAAACTGGTGTCTGCTGGGTTTTTTTGCTCCTTTGGTTTTCTGAAATCTATGTTCTTCCACAGAGGGCATGGCCGCTCTTTATCCACGCCGAGTAACGACATCCGTGTTGCAGGAACTCGGTGCCCTCAGCTGCCCTCCCCCACATTTAGTGAATGATCTCCGTTCGGCTACGGCTAGCACCTTGACACAGTGCACGGGAGCGGTTCGGGACTGGATTATCCAGGAGGTGCGACTCCGGTGCTACGAGACCAGCCTGTCAGCCTCCCGCGCCCGCTCCAGTCCAGCGTGCCCTAGGGGAGCTGTCTCTCGAACGTGTCGTGGACTTTTTGCACTTTCACGTGTACAGCCAAGGCGCTGCACTGGAGGACAATGGGCAGGAGACCAGGCGGATGTCGCACCAAGACACAACGCGGACCTTCACGGCGCCCCTCCGCGTCAGTCTGCGAGTGGAGGACTGTCTCAGCTTTGGCTATACGTGCTTGGCTTATCTTGCCTCAATGAGCCGTCGGCAGCGCCGAACACTGGCTGGCTCTCCCATCGCCAAAGCGGCAATCGCCCCCCGTCAGAAGGCTGCTTGCTTCGGCTAGACTTTCGCCAAGCACAACTCCTGGCTGTTTTCGTGGACTCAGTGGTCCCCAAACGGGTCAAAGGGAACGCCCCCGCGAAGCGGAAGGCACAGAGACGCCACAATCGCCTTAATCCGACAGCTGCCCTTCTACTTGTTAGTCGATGGCCTGCTTTCTTGGGAGCTGAGCCTCTTGCCGGAGGGGTGCACCAGTGGGAATATCCTCTGCGCAGCCTTTCCTGTGTAAAGGTGGGCGGGGCCCTTGACGTTTTCCTGCAGGTTTTGAAAATGCCCGCGGCACGAGTGCCACTTGCCATTGGTATGCCCGTTCGACCTCACACTCAGCCGGCGCCGCGGCCACAGTGTCACTTTGCGGCCGAAACGCATCTTGTCGGGCACATCGCGGCAATTCTGGCGGCGCGAGCCACCAATCGCAGCTCGCTGGGTATCCTTGGCTGCGCAGGGTCTTCCAAAACCTTCTCCTTGTGGTGTGCACTTGTTTGCATCGATGCTGTGTTGGTGTTCGTTTGTAACCTAGTGCACGTAGTCCCAAGTAGAGTGTGTAGAGTAATCACGAGAACACATGAAACATGTGTGTGAACCGCGACACGAAGGCTTAAGCAAGTCAGCCCGCGAAGTGAGAAAAGTGTGTTTGAGAGTAGAGTGGGAAGGAAGGCTTGAGAAGCCTTTAGTTTCAACATGGTAGCGGAGCTCCCTGATTCAGACCTCTTGGGAGCGATGAAGCTATCACAGGAACAACAGGTAGCTGTCGCCATGGTTTCCTTGGCTTTGGCTTTTTCGCTGATGTGTCTGGCGAGAAGCTTTGTGAAAGAACTTGTGAGAAAGGAGACAGTGGAGCGCGTTGCTCCGGCTGAGGAAGAGCTACCAGAACTCTGGTACTCGCCTTACGGAGAGAAGACCCACACTTCAAAAAAGATGTCATGGCCTCAGGAACGCAACCAGTGTACACCGAGTACTACCATGCAAGTACTGTTGCCCCGGTGGACTTCGATCCCGGGAACAACGCACCTTCGAGTACAAGAGAACCTTTTTGGAAGCAGCAGGAAAGTACCTTTGGCTAAAAGTCTTCATGGTTGTGGTTCTCATGGGCATGTCATGGTTCATGGTGTTTGAAGTGAACGAGACCTACGGCTACCCGTTGGCCACGAACCGCATGCTGAACTACAGGAACAAGGTCCTCAGCCTCGATAACAAGAACCCCAAGAAGAAGCATGTGATAAAGGAGATTACCCCAGCGGATGTTGTACCTGCCGGGAAGAGCCAAGAAGGTGATCACACAGAACTTTTCACGTTGTGGTCGCATCTACATGAGCCCAACACCGAATCGAGAACGAGAACGAGATCAACGTCACGAGCTACCTCAAGAAGACGAACGTGTACTCCGAGTTCTACAAGAACAAAAGAAAAGGAACAAAGTTGCAACTACAGTTTTTATGACGGTGATGTCGCGGAGTATAACGAGAACCTAAAGAACGAAGAAGTGCCCCACGTGAACTACTACAAGAACCTTGTGTTTGAGTTGGTTTTGGAGTTTCAAGAGTACCTTGCGAAAGCAGGAAGAAGCCTTGAGCCCGTCGTGAGCTACGTCGTGCGCACGTGTCACCCAGTACTACTTCTACTTGGGACCCCGCTTGGTATGGTCACTTGGATCTACCTCTATTTTTGGGTCAGAGTTAAGCAAACAAAAAGAGAACAGTTGAAGAAGAAAGTTTCGAGAAGGAAGTTGCACAGGTCAGTTTGCAGCGTTCTTTTCAAGAAGCGAGTCTGGTTGCATGTTGTGTTGCTTTACGGTCACATGCAGAGTGCAGTTGCGATGGAGGAAGCCTTGCAAAGGCTCACAGACCTTACTGCCCCAAACACACAGCAGATACAAGCACTTGCCCAAGCAATGAACAGTCAGCAAGCACAGGCAGGTACCGCTTCACAACAATTACAGGAACTCGCGCAGTCAGTTTCACAACAGCAAAGAGCAATTACGGAAGCAACCCAAGCAACCAACACAGCATTGTCACAACAAGCAGAGCTTACTGCAAACGCGGTTGCAGCAACAGGAAAGCTTACAGCAGACGCAGTTACAGCACTGTCGCAGCACGCAGAGTCAAGAAGGCCAGGAGAGATCGACCTCCACAAGATGATCAAATCTCCAGAAGTCTTTGGCCCTACTACATACAAGGAAGAGCGTGACGGTTTTCTAGAGTTTCGGTTGAAGCTGAGAAGTTGGATAGGCGCTCTCAACAACGACATCCTTGAGAAGATCAACGCAGTTGAGATGGATAGAAGAGAAGCATCATGGGAATGGAGCAAACTTAACCCAGGTGAACAAGCACTCTCAAGAAAGCTACAGTCCATTCTCACCAGCTACACACGTGGTCGTCCTCTACGAACTCTAAAACAAGTGCCCAACGAGAACGGTTTCGAAGCATGGAGGTTGTTGGTGGAGGAACATCAGCCTCACAACCGTGCACGTTCTCTACAACTACTTAACGGAGTTCTTCACTACAGGTTCGACAAGCAAAGGTCAACACAAGAAAATATTCTGAAGTTCGAGGAGTTGATTGAAGAGTACGAGAGAGCGAGTGGAGACCTTGTTGCGGACGACATGAAGATTTCCATCATCCTTGGAGGAACCGAAGGGGACATGAGACAACATCTTCTACTCAACCAGAAAGAGACCACAAAGTACGGTACACTACGACAGTACCTCCTCTCCTACGAGCAAGCAGCAAGGTGGACCACCACAGACCTTATCAACTCAGGAAAGGACCACCAAGGACAAGCAGACATGGATGTTTCACGAGTGGAATGGTGGAATAAAGGCAAAGGAAAAGATAAAGGGAAAGGAAAGAAAGGAAAAGGATTTGGTAAGTACAACAAAGGCAAAGGCTTCGGCAAAGGAAAAGGAAAAGGAGAAAGCCAGTACTACTACAAAGGCCGAGGAAAAGGAAAAGGAAAAGGCAGAGGCCGAGGATATGGCAAAGGCGGGGGAAAAGGCTACAGCAGCAAAGGAAAAGGTAAAGGCTACAACAACCCAGGAATTCCAAAAGCCTGGACACTACGAAGCCAATTGCAGACTGAAGCAGAGAGACATGCAGCAGAACGTCAGGAACGCACAGGAGGAAGACGAGCAAAGCGTCAGGACGCAGCCTACTACAGTTCCAAGCAGTAGCGCTTCGGCAGCCACAACAACAAGAACTACAAGCGCGAAGTCTACAGCCAAGCCAACAGTTCGGCAAATCGCGATGTACCACACGGACAACGATCCCGTCACGTACCCTGAAGTTTTTGAACTTGACGAAGACGAAGAAGAGCTCGAGATCGAGTACTTTGGAAGAGTCTTGAGAGTGACGGAAGCTGAAGAGTTTGTTTTGTCAGAAGGAGAAGAGAGCGAAGAAGAACAAGAAGATCCTCTACTAAACTGGTACCTTGGACGTGAAGCACTACCACCACAAGAAGTTCTCTCAGTACGCGTTGTAGAGGAAGAGTTTTTCCAGGAAAGTGATCTTCACCAAAGAATCGAAGTTATCCTGGATGCTGGCGCAGACGTTTCTCTTGTGCCCTCTTGGCTAGGAAAAGAAGGAACCCCTTTGAAGGTTCGCCCTTCGTCCATTCAGGACGCACAAGGAAAAGCAATAAAGACGGAAGGCAGAAGGATGCTGAACTTAACGTTCTTTGATGACGACGGAAGCTTTTGTCGCATCCAGGAAGCCTTCACCGTTGCCTCGGTGATCAACCCGCTGATGGCCATAGGCAAGCTGTTTCGAGAAGGTTGGGAGTTGCGAGTGAACGAAGAAGAAGGTATGTGTCTTACAGATGGAAGCTCAAGAATACCAGTGCATCTCCACAAGAACAGCTTGGCAGCCTACGCCTACGTACAAACTCCTTCAAGAAGCAGAAGTTACAGCAGCAACAACTACAAGATGGTTCGCACAGTTGTTCAGCTCAACAAGCACGTTCAGGAAGCAGTGAACAGAGAAGAACCTGGTTGGCACAACACAGACAGCATGGTGATCGTGAAGTACGCCACTCAAAGCAGCTATGAGAACCCATCTCTCATGTACAGCCCTACGCACTTTCCGTACAGAAGCACTTTGGTGAAAGAAGAGAGAGGATGGAGAGCAGTTGAAGTTTCAAGAAAGTACTCCGAGAAGGCAGACCCTTTTGAAGAGTTTGCAGAAGGAGAAAAGGAAGTGGTTACAGCCATTTCAGCAAAGCCAACTCCACTTTGGATCCTTGGCACCCCCTACGCTGCTGGAGACCGAGCAGACCAAGAAAGTCATGGTCGTGACTACTGGAGAATGGACCTCGAGAAGGGAGAAGTTGTTCGTCACCACGTAGTATCAAGAACTGTACTGTTTGACCCGACAGGAGTTGCCAACTGCCCTGTCCTCCTTGGAGATCTCGAGAACAGCAGGTATACCCAAGGAGACTGCATTTACAGTACAGAGATCTACGAACACAGCGACGACTGGAGAGCAGACCGCCTACCTCTACGTGAACACTTCCGTTTACCGTGGTTTGGTCAAACAAGGTTTCGTGTGAAGCCAGGAGTTGTTGAAGACCTAAAAGCAGAAGCTGCAGCAGAGGAGCTAAAGAAGAAGAAGGAAGAGCACTACAAAGAGAAGGAAGATTCAGCAGCACCACCAGAAGCAGAGGAGAGTAAAGACGAAGAGATGAGAGAAGCACCAGCAGACCAAGAAGCACCACAAGAAGTTGTTGAAGTTTTGGAGGAAAGCTTCTACCACGAAGGCGTCGAGTACACAGCGCAGAAAAGCAGTCTTAAGGAACTACAAGCACTTTGCAGAGAGTACAGAGTGAAGACAACAGGAAGCAAGAAGCAGCTCTTGAAGAGACTCGCCACAGCAGTCAGAGAAGAAAGGCTCAGCACGCAGCACAAGGAACAACGGGAACACCACCAAGCATACCACCTAGCACCACCACAGGAACCAACGGAAGAGGAGAGAGCGTACCACAACTTGACGCACCTTCCGTATCAGCCTTGGTGTCCCCATTGCGTTGCTATGAAAGCACGAGAAGACAACCACAAGAAAGGATTGAGCAAGCCAAGCAGCTCTACGGATTCCGCGAAGCCCGTCATCAGTTTTGACTTTTGCTATACAAGCACCACAGGAAGTGAAGAGCCACCAGCAGTGACTCTTGTCGCTGTGGACAGCTGGAGCAAGGCAGTTCTTGCGGTGCCCTGCAAGAGGAAAGGAGGTGCAGGAAGCACAACGCATCTCGCGGAAGCACTCGTGCAGTTCACCACGCAGCTCGGGTACAACACCCTCGTTCTCAAAGCAGACAACGAGAACGCAGCCAAAGCACTCAAGGACAAAGTACAGAAAGTACGCAGCAGCCTTGGACTTTCTACAACACTACAGGAAAGCATTCCTTACGACCACGAAAGAGATGGAGCCGCAGAAAGAGCAATACAAACAGTACGGAGGCAAGCGAACACCATTCTCGATGAACTCAGAGAAAGAACACAGCTGGCAATACCACACGAGCACGCAGTAGTAAGCTGGGCGTTTAAGCACGCCTGCTGGCTACTCAACAGGTTCGCAGTGAGCAGCTCCACAGGAAGAACGCCACAGGAAGTTATCCACGGATACCCCTACTCAGGGAAGCTTGTACCCTTTGGTACTGTTGTGATGGCGAAGAGGTTGAAGATTAAAAAGAAAGGTGACAGGATATGGAACGCAGGAATATTTTTAGGCAAGACAGAGCAAGACACATGGATCGTTGCACAGCCTGATGGCATACATATCACACGCAGCGTGAGACCACTACCAGAACAGTACGACTCCAAAAGAACAAGCAGCATAGAGGTCCATACCTGGAACCTCAACACACCACTCCTGGGAGCAAGAGTACTTCCAGAGAAGAAGCAAAGACAACGACCACAGCTAAGCATCCTGCCCCCTGTTGCCGAGGAAGAACGCGAACAGCTCGAGAACGACGAGGCCGCTAGCGACCCTCCGAGTTCGGAGGACAGCAGTGAAGAGCAGCAGCGAGCACTTGAAGACAGAGAGGAACAAAGCGAAGGCAGCAGCATGAGTGTGACGAGAGATAGAAAAAGAAGAGCTGAAGTTGATGACGATACCCTTTTGGAGGAACTCAGAGCAGTTGAACCACTTACAGCCTCAGCAGAAGCACTTTCAGCACCAGCTGAACCAAGAGCAGAAGCAAGCAAGCACAGTCTTGAGCCTGAGGAACCAAGCTCACCCAGCAAGCTACGAAAGCAGGTCAACAGAGCAGAAGAAACAGACGGTTACCTCAACATGCCTCATGATGATGAAGTCTACGAAGCAGATGATGAGTTTGTGTACGAGTCGGAAGAAGAAGAAGAAGAGGATACAGAGAGTGAGCCAACAGAAGTTTTTACCAAGGTCCCTGTCGAGTTCTTCGACGAGGAGAAAGGACCACCGAACGTGGATCCAGCTTTTCTTCAGAAGTTGGATGATGACAAGAGGTTAACGGTTAACAAAGATGGGAGTTATTTCGTTGGTTTCTACGGACCCTCAGGAAGCAACTGAGAACGTACCTCTGGTAGACTCAGAGCAAGAACTTCACAAGTGGTTGACAACGAAGTTGGTGAAAGATTGGAGGTTCAGAGAAGCTACAGGTTTTGCAGCTGAAGAAGCCAAAGAAGGAACAACAAAGCCCAAGCAGATTCAGAGATGCTGGCAACGACGTGCCAGGCTAGTAGCCAGAGAATACAAGACAGAAGGAAAAAGGGAAGATATATTTTCTCCTGCGACAAGCCCAGGAATTACAAAACTGGTGCCCATGCTGGCTCTCGCCAACCATTGGGCGATCTACAGTGTCGACGTGAAGGACGTGTTTTTACAAGTCCCTCAAAGAACACCTTGTTTGTGTTGAGTACCTGAAGAAGCAGCTCACGTCGTACAAGCAATGCAGGAACAACAAGAACGCAGCCCTGGAACTTGGTGTTGGAAGTTAGGAAGAGTTTTGCCAGGTCAACGCGACGCATCCAGTCTTTGGTCAGACTTTTGTGATGGACTTTTGGTGGAAGAGAAGTTTGAGCGTTGTACAGCAGTTCCAGCACTTTACCGTCTTCTACGACAAGGAAAAGTGGTTGCAGTTTGCATTGTGCATGTAGATGACTTGCAGTTTGCAGGAAAGAAGGAAGTCATCGAACCAATCGTCAAGAACCTCAAGAAGAAAGTGAACCTACAAGTTGAAGGACCTCTTCTAAACGAGGAAGACTACGAGAAAGGATTTTCTGAGGAGACCGTGAAGTTTCTCAAAAGGAAGTACACATAGCGAAGCAAGTACGTGAAGAAACTCGTGGAGATCCTCAAGCTGGAGAAGAAGAAGGCCAAGAACTCACCTTGCACACCGGCTAGTCAGGAACCTGACGTATCCCAAGAACTGGACGAGGAACACTCGAGAACGTACAGAAGTTGTGTCGGCATTTTGTTGTACGTGGCGCACGACCGTCCGGACATTCAGTTCGCAGTACGTAGCCTAAGTACTGCCATGACGAAGCCAACGGAACGCAAAAGAAAGGAGTTGGAGCACTTGGCGCTCTACCTCAAAGGAACGTCAGACTACGCCGTTACGTACCACAGGAACAGCCCAGGAACGTCAGCTCTACGTCACCGCGCCGATGAACCACCAGAACTACAAGAACCTCGAGAACAACCACGCGAACGTTTGCTCAAAGTTTTCAGCGACTCCGACTGGGCCGGAGACAAGCAGACTAGGAAGTCAGTGAGTTGCGCCATGTTCTACCTGGACGGTGCATATTTCTACAGCTGCAGCAGGACACAGAAGTCAATAGCATTATCATCTTCAGCAGAAGCAGAATACATGGCACTTACAGGAGCAGCAAGTGAAGGAATAGGTTTACAGGCAGCAGTTCGTTTCCTTACAGGAGAACGAGTACCACTCAAAGCATACACAGACAGTTCCGCATGCCGCGGAATCACAAACCGCCAAGGAACAGGAAGAGTCAAGCACTTGCAGATTCGGTTACTTTGGCTACAAGCAGCAATACGCGAAGGCAAGCTTACTGTACACGCAGTCGGTACAAAGGAAAACACAGCAGACCTAGGAACAAAGCCTCTCAGCACGAAAAGAGTGAAGTTTCTCCTGAACATGATCGGCATGTGCAACAGCGAAGGAAGAGTTGGAGAGCAAGAGCGAGAGGAAGAAGAAAAGGCACAAGTGGTGAGAAGACTCGAGAAGATCATGAAGAACAAAAGCAGCATGTTGTTTGCACTTTCGAGTTTGTTTGGAAAGACTGAGGCAGCCTACGTACCTTTCGCCGCAGCTCAAGAAGTAGCAAGCCCACAAGAAGTCCCAAGCAGTCCTGGAAGCATGTCGCTTCTGGAAGTCCTGGTGACGCTCGCCATGGTGTGCATGGCGGCATGGTTTGTCGTGAACGAGATGAGAAAGCCACAGCAGCACAAGAAGCCGAAGAGAGAAGAGAGGAGCAGCGGTGAAGAAGAGGAAAGCAGCTCAGGAAGCATAAGTGGAGAGAAGAAGAAGAAGAACCGAAGGAGGAAGAAAGCAGAGAAAGACGAAGCGAAGACTGAAGCTCCTGCCGCTCAGGTGAACTACGACGTGGACTCCTTCGACGAGGCAAAGAAAGAAGTGACAGAGAGAGCAGAGAAGTTGAAGAAGGTTGAGGAAAGCCTGGAGAAGGAAAAGGAGGAGTTCGGAAACCAAAAGTCAGAGTCTGAGGAGACAGTGAAAAGGTTTTTGAAGAAGCAGAAGGAGGTGAAGGAAAAGGAAGACAAAGTTACAGAAAGAGAAGAGAAGTTAGAGAAAGACCAAGAGACCCTCCAAGAGCAAGCCAAGGTCTTAAGCGAGAAGGAGACAGCCCTTGAAGAAGCTGAGGAGAACGGAAGCAGAGGTTGAAAAGAAGAAGAAAGAGGCAGAGAAGAGAGAGAGAGAAAAGCCCAGGAAAGAACCGCCGGCTACGACCAGGAGAGAGAAGAGTACGCCAAGAAGTACGTGGACGACGCAAAGAAGGACCTGGAGAGAGAGCTTAAAGTACTAAAGCAAGAAGAGAAAGTAAGGAACCAGAAGCTCGACGACCTCCAGTACGACTACAAGAGCCTCAAGGACGACTACCAGTACTTCAAAGGTTACTCACAGGAAGTGGATGCACTTCTACTTGCAGCTAAGGACAAGATCGTGAAGTACAAGAAGAAGGTCAAAAGCCTCAAGGAAACCATAAGTGCAGCCCTGTCTGGAAGCGAAGGCGAAGAAGAGACAGAAGAAGCGTACAAGAGTAAAGCAGAAGAAGAGAAAGAGAGGAAAGAAGCGCAAGCAAAAGAGGAAGAGAAGAAGAAAGGAAAAAGGCCAAAGCAGGTAGAGACAGAAGACCAAGAAGAGAAGCCGTCAAGCAACCAAGGAGACGAAGCTACCGTCGACCCCAACGACATAGCTGAGTTCACGCAGCTTGGCTACGTGTGGGAGTTCAACAAGAAGACGCAAGAGTACCGCGCGAAGTGCGAGGACAAGAAAGGAAGCACGAGAATCAAGAACGCTCCGGTGAAAGGCCGCCTCCTTTGGAACAAGGTGACGGAGTGCTACAGAAGACACAACATGTGGTTTACAGACGGAAAGGAATTGGATAAATTCCTCGAGACCAAGGAGAACGAGAAGATCGAGGAAGAGGTGCAGCGACGCATCGGCATGAAGGGCAAGAGCGACAACACAGGAACCAAGGGAAAAGGCCCTTCCTGGGACGACGGACACAACGACGGTTGGTGGTACAACGACCAGTGGAACAACGAGAACTGGAACACCAACGACGACGGCAGCAACTGGTACGAGAACGGGAACCCGAACAACAAAGGCTACTGGCAATCGCCAGAAGAGTGGGCGCAGCAGAACCAGTGGGACCAGTGGACACCCAAAGGAAAGGGTAAAGGCAAGAAGTCCAAGAACTGGGTGCAGACCCAGTGAAAGAATCCCGAGAAGGGATGATCGAGCAGGTCAAGCAGTGAACGCCTGTACATATGTACATAGCTAAGCAACGTAAGACTTGATGTATACTAGCACAAGAATTCATGTACAAAGTGTGAGCAAATGTATAGACGTAGCAAACTGGGGCAGTAAGCCTAGGTAAGCTACAACCTTCCAAAGTCTCACAAGAAGTTTCACAACAGGCAGGCTAGGAAGGTACAAGGGCCAGAAGAGGCAAGAAGCCGGAGAAGCCAAGAACAAAGAGAAGAAGCCCGAAAGAAGAAAAGCCCGTAGGCTACGTAAGGGCAGAAGGAAACCGGGGTACGGGCCTCCCCGCAAAGAGTCCATAGGCTGGACCTAACTAGAACGTAGCTGTATATACAGAGTAGGTTTTTCAATAAGGCCAATGTACAGACATAGAAGGCCTAAGTAGCAACAGGGCAGGAGTGCAGCTAGGTAAAAGACCAAGAACAACGGAGACGAAAGTCCCTAGCAGAAGCACTGTACAGAAAGCCCTAGCAGTTTCCAAGAACACCCTAGGAACCCGCAAGAACTTTCTGAGGCGGGGTGTTCGTTTGTAACCTAGTGCACGTAGTCCCAAGTAGAGTGTGTAGAGTAATCACGAGAACACATGAAACATGTGTGTGAACCGCGACACGAAGGCTTAAGCAAGTCAGCCCGCGAAGTGAGAAAAGTGTGTTTGAGAGTAGAGTGGGAAGGAAGGCTTGAGAAGCCTTTAGTTTCAACAGTTGGAGCAGAGCGTGTGTTGGACCGCTCAACAGCACTCTGCCCTCATCGCGGTCGTTCGCATTGCCACCAATCTTCTGGCCGATGCACCGAAGTGGTTACACCCGCTCATTGTTGTTCGGCGCGCTTCTGGCGACGCTGAAATGGTTGAAACCGGATTATGACCATGTGCCATTTACGGAGGCGGCTGAGCACACGGCTGCTGGGCTGGGGGAATTTGCTACGGACCGGCCTGACACAAGAGGCCGGGACACGCGGCGGACCACATCCCCATCCATTGGCAGCACGCATATGCTTTTACTCACGCAAGGATCGGGTGCCCTCCAGTTGAGGTACTCACCTACGACGCGGTGAAAGAGTTTCTCAAAAACGCCCATGTCATTGTCATTGACGAAGGGCAACAAGAGGGCCTCCCGGCATCGGCCGCCATCTTGGCCAATGCGGATTGCCAGCTCGTCATCCGCACCGGAGATCCGCGTCAACCTACTGGTGGGGGTAAAGGCGATGTGCAGCTCAACACCCTGGCGCGCCTCACTGCGAAGCCGGTTGGCATTCGTGGACTCGCTCAGCTTGCTCCTCCACCCTACCCTCCAGGGCGCATGGCTCACGCGCTCCGCGGCTTGGTGCAATCCACCTCGCCTGCGGGGCCGTTCCATACTGTCCATTGGTCAAGCCTTGGACATCGCTATGATGGCCATCATGGGACGGAGCCCCCGCCTGGCACCAGTCTGACGGTCTGTCCGTCTATCTCCGCGTGCCTGTTCGGATTGGATACCCCTGCGGAGGTGGGGCTTGTTGAAGATCTATGTGACATCCGGGGATGCAGGGTGAACTATCAGGGACAAATTTATTTCGTTCCCTACTCCGGCATAGAGCGAGTTGGCGATGTGCTCTGTCCACGCCCAGGCCGCCTTACATCAGCAGCTATTGCAGTGGACTTCCTCCATCAGTCTTCCTCCCACAGTGAGGCGCTCCTGTGCTATCTCAATCGCCTGTCGTCAGTCGGAGCAATACTTGCTCCGGCTCATTCTGCCTTGCAAGCAGAAGGCCTCGAGCCAATCAACGGCGTGTGTCTGAACCTCGCCCTCGTCGCCTCTACGCGGTTGCTAGCAGATCTCTATATGTTGATAACTGCCATTAGATACCCGCAGTCCAATCTCCTGCTTCCTGCAACTGACTCCTCACCGTGTCCGGTCACCATTGGGGAGTTGGCGGCAGACACGCCTGCGAGGCGCATGCAGCGGATCGCGGCTGATGGCACACATCAATCGGGAGTCTACTTTGTCAGACTCCCCAAACAGGCATCCAACATTGCTCAGAGAGGCCTAGTGGTTGAGTGGTTCTGTGTTCTCCTTGTCTTAGCCTACAATCTGTGCGGTCACCGAATCGCGGTACAGGCTGGGCGGAAAATCACCGTTGTCACGCCCACCACCAAGGTCTTTGATATCCTGAAACACGGATTAGGTCTGAGCAACCCGCGTCCGGCCAATGCGGAGACCGGCGCCGCGCACCGGGTGGTCGCTGAGGGTACTTCCTTCTCTGATTTCATTTCGCAACGGGTGCCAGACCTCCCCCCACCGGGGATGCTGACTACCGACGCGCAAGCCCAAACGCTGTTCGAATTTTTTTTTGGGCAACGAAATGAATTGGGAGTGTTCATCGACCTCTTTACCACTACAGTGTGTGCCGGCACCACTGGAGCGGTGGATATCTGTTTGGTTGACAAGGCAGGTAGGTTCACCATGACGGGGGAGGATGCCCACCAGCGACTTACAGCCGGCAGCACGCGTCCCACCGGCCCACTGATCATTGCGTCTCCGTCCCATTGGTGGGGCATTATCGCGGCCTTGGAGATGCATGCTTCGCTCGATAAGACCCTCATCAGCTGGGCGCGGCGATTTCGACCCTCAAATGTTCTCAAACCCTGGCGTCTGTAAAAGGCACCTTTCGTCTCTTGCTTCCGTTAGACGATGCCTCCCTGGGTTTGCAAGCACAGCCTACCCTCCCCCTCCAGTCCGCAGGGCTATTGCATGCCGCATTGTATCGCCTTCGCGCAGCTGCCACCACATCCGGTTGGGAGCTCAGTGCTGTGGTCGTGTTCTGGTTGCGCGGACCTCGCAAAATGGACTTCTATTTCCCAGTACGCCTGTGGCGCTATGGGATTTTTGATGCATGGGACTGCAGGGCCCAAGTTCTGCTCCATCGCTTGGTGGCACAAGAGTCCAATCAGGATGCCATGCCCGACGGTAGCCGTCCACGGTTTCGGCTTGGCAACCCTTGGGGACAGGACAGCTCGCGAGCGGCGGCTCAGACTTTCATGGAGCAGGGTGGAATTGGCCCGGGCATACAGCTTCCTTTCATTACCAAGGAGCTCATGCCGCATCTTCATGAACCAGACAAAGACACGCTTCAGTATGGCTTTCGCCGCCTCCAGGACTTGTATGCGGAGGGCCAGTACCAACTGCTTTACCTTCTGCGGGAATCTCATTTCCCGACCAGCGGCAGCGACATGCAGCGCCTGCTGGACCAATGGCCCCCTTCGACTACGGAGCGTGTCCAGTAAGAAACTGTACCCCATCGGCCAGTCCCTTGTCCATGACTATCGACATACGTCGAAAGGTCTTTTTCCCTGGCCCTCGCCACTGGTTGTCGGCTCCATGGACTTGTGGATTTTGCGTGCACGATTGTGACACAACAGGACCTCGGGGCCGACCGTTGTTCGACGGAACTAGAACGGCGGCCGGAGCCTTGACTTGGGCTCCACCGATGGTCTTGGACAGCTCTGGGCGACGGCCCACTGTTGTTGTGGATCGGTCGCTGAGGCCCGTAGCTTGTGCTGAACGGCCACCACCGGCAAAGCCTGTGCGCCGCAGCTAGCTTCTGCCCTCCTTTAATTAGCCGCCATGTTTCACCGCTGTTTTTGTTTGTTTGTTGGTTTGATGTTTGTAGGGACCGAGTGCTACAGCTGTAGTCAACGAGGCCCGCTCACGCCAAAAAAAATCTTCCACAGAGGGCGAACTGATTCGACGGTACTGTTGACAATTTGCTTCCTCGTTGCTCCCGCAGTTCCGTCATAGTTCTGTCGAGGTTCGTTAGTAGGGCGGTGCCATACACATTTATATATATGTATATTTCTATCAATACAATATATATATACACACACACAAACACACACACACACACACACACACACACACACACACACACACACACACACACACACACACACACACACACACACACACACACACACACACACACACACACACACACACACACACACACACACAGACACACGCACAGACAGACACACACACACACATAGACAGACACACACTCGAACACCCAGACTTCGCTGGTAGCATGTTCATTCGTGGTCAATTCTCACTCATCAATGAGTTCAATGACTCCGATGAGAAACTTCAAAGGAAAATGTTGTCGGTGGGGCTTCAAGAGTCTCTGGTTGCCTTGCTGCGATTTAATACCGAAAAAGCCTAGTCGCTGCAAACAGATTGGAAGCATTGCACAGCGAAGATCAATATGATGGCACCATGCACAGCGTATACTGTCATACGTCACAAGCTATGAGCAGGTACAGGTTCGTGCGTCCACGAACCCATCACGAGAAGCAAGAGCGGTCTTCGTTGGTGCCAGCACTCTTGTTCTCCTGGCACCCCCTGCACGATCACTTCTCTTAGTCTCAACATCGCTATTCTCAACGTCACTGTCCCGTGGTAGTTTGGGTTCCCCACACACACTGACCTCCATTGGAGGGGCTGCGGACTCTTCTTTTTCATCGCTGCTGCCGTGCTTCTTGGTCTGAAATTGTGCGCACGAAGAGCACAGGCTTCAATGTTGCCATGGATGTGACCGGATCCCAGTCATGTAGTCGTCGACGATTTTGCTCGAAAAAGAATGCTGCAATCTCTGGCACTCTGCCGGTGATCTCTTTGATGCGGTATGAGAAGATTTTCCGCGCTTGCAGTATGGTATCTCCAAGGCATAGTACCACGTGTAGAAACATATGTCTTTCCCTGGAGATTCGGTCAGGTGGGATTTCCACTGTCATCCGAAAGCATTGACTCCGCGTGGAGTACCATGGAAGTCCAGCTTCTCCCGCTTTTCGCTTCGGCATGCTGGTTTTACTACTATGAAATTCACTTAAAAGGAACCAAAACAGCAGCAAAAGAACGCTCATACGCAGGCCGGTAAGTAGTGAGCAACTGAAACCTTGATTGTTGCTCGATCTTCTTTTTGATGGTCACTGATTTGCCACACGTCTTGGTCGGTGTCATGAATCCAGCAGAGATGCCGCCCCTGTCGCTGGTGATGTTCTTCAGAGCTCTGCGATAGCGATGTATGGGAGCAGTACATGATGGCAAGCTCGGGGTTGCTGCGATGTTCAACCTCACATTGTTGACAGTTGCATGTGCAGTTGACGCCCCCGAACATGTAGCGTGACTCGCGCGCGATTTTTCGGATGATATACTCCGCGAGTTCTAGTAGCTGCACCATGCTGAGCTGATTGACGATGCTGTACAGGGTGTCGAGCTGTGAGGGTCCTGCTTGACGTGGTCCTTCCTCTTGGCGCTCCCCATCCCATGTGCGTCTTCCCCGGCGCATTGCTACGAGGTTACGGTTGCTGGGTCAGGAAAAAGAAGCTCTATGCTTGAGACGAGTGGCTTACTAGGTATGTATAACCGACAAGTCAAATCAAAACTGCTGAGGTGAAGTCGTAATGCTCGATCTTTTTCGGCTCGCTCTCTCTGGTTGTGTGTGTCTGCTTCCTTAGTCCGCGTGGTACCGTGGTACCAGCAAAGATGCCGTCCATGCCAAATGTGATTTTCTTCCGAACTTTGTGAGTGCGACGTGTGGGCACATGTTTGGACGACGTAGTTGGGGTCGCAGTAGTTGGCAGCTTCACACTGTTGCCCTGGAATGCAGCACCTGACTCCACCGAACATGAATCGGGTTGCGTTTCGCAATCTGCGCGCCACGTACTCCGCCAACTCCAGGAGTTGTGAAATGCTGAGCTGGTTGACCACCTGGTACATGTCGTTGAGCTGGGCTGTCGGCACATCTGTGCGGTGCTCGGCTCCGTCTGAGTACCACGCGTTGCGGTCACGAAGCATTGATGCTGTCACTGGTCGGATCGCAAGGACTGGAGGACTTTACAAGCTTGAGACACGGCCACCCGAAATACCTAAGGTACGAACCTGAAATCGCAAAGCGTTGAGGAGACTGCTCTGTTTTCCGTAGTCTCGTCCTGCTTCTGGCACTGAATTTTGTCCACAGCGTTGTGCTGATTCTAATTATGCGAGGTTAGCATGCGAAGGTATCTTTTGTCTTCTCGACAAATGTCCTCGGTGCGGTTGGTGGTGTAGGCCGAGATGATCGGGCGGTCGGATTTCCATGGACATGTGCCGTGAAGCTTGAATGGACTAAACTCGATTCCGGGTAGTTTGATCTCAAGGTTGCGGCCACGATGTTGTCCGTTTGGAGATAGATCAGGTCCGTCGTCTTCTTCAATCCATAGGTGTCCTTGTCTGAAGGTAGAGACCGGAATCACGATGTTGAGGCTTCCTGGTTTGTTGTACTTGTCTCGATGTGTGCGCATATGTACATTGCGAAGTAGGGAAACAGTCGAGAATGGAGTATGGGTGCAAGCTCGTACCAGGTATGCTAGTATCGCTGCCGTCCAAGGTCTTTGTCTCGTGTTGGTGCGCACGCCAATGCTGCCCGCGTGGTAGTAGGTGCCGACTGTGTATGCCGTTGCTCTTCTGCCTGCTTTCGTGAGTGCCGAAGCTCGAAGGAACTCGGAGTTGAGCTGGGTGGAGAGCCATGGGAAGAGCTCGAAGGGAATATATCTTTGTTGGAGGAGAAGTTCACATTCTTGCTCTACTGGATCATCTTTTGCTGCTAAGACTGTGGGGGCACTCATGTCTAACGGTAGTCCATGTGGTAGTCTAACTGCGTATTCCGCGGTCTCGGAGTCGGTGTCGATGTCGGTGAGCTCTGCGGCGTTTGCAGCGCCATTGATGCGCTGCTTTTTAGTCATATTAACTCTGCATCCTACCAATGCCCTCTTGAACCAAAAAACTGAAGAAACTGAAGAAAAGTGGCTGAGTCATCACAATTGCTAATACCTTGCATGTGTCGGGACTCTGCTGAGTTTTCGAGAAGGCGCGCAAATCCCAAGTCGCCGTAGAGGTCGTCCAGCTCTTGTAGTTGTCTCTTGGCTACATCTTCAGGGTAGGCAATGGTGCGGATGAGGTGTTTTCTGCTGTGGTACCCGCTGAGGCGTAGCTTTGTGGAGCCGGCTGACTGGGGAAGTCGATATCTCCAAGCTTCTCGGTGGAGATTGTAGGTAATTTGGCGATTATCTGCGTGAATGCGAAATCCCAGAAAACCATCACACGCTTCATCTTCCAGTTGTACTGGCTTCTTGTAGAAGTGTAGGGATGCAAGCTGCTGGATGTAGGGGTTGTGCTGAAGCTCATCTTCATCGACTATGATGGCTCTGTTGTCGACGTACCTGCGAATCCAGAACTTGTCGTGGAGATGGGCGTTGCTGACGAACTGGCCACACATTCTTAGCCATGTGATTTCTGTGGCCACTATTGCACATGTCGAGAGGATGGGACTGATTTGGTTTCCCATGGAGGTGCCACAAGTCTGCTGAAAGACCTCCCCAATGGCTGTGAAAGCGCAAGCATCGAAGCTGAACTGGATGATGGCGGGTATGTGTTCTGCCTGCACCTTGACCATGTTGAACTTCAGGCTGTGCGTTGATCTGCCGGAATGTGCGGGTGCGATCTTGCTGTGAGGATCGACGGTGATGGTGGAGTTGTGCTCGTCAAGGAACTGGGAGGTGAGGAAGTGGATGCTTTGTAGGATATCGGATTGTGGTATCGAATTAAAGAAGCCGACCAAATCGTGGTTGAGAAATTTCAAGTGTCGCCCCGGGTACAGGTGCTCATTGTTGTGGAAGAGTTGGTGTATTTCCTCCCAAAGTTGCGGCGAGCTGACATCGCCAAAATGGTTGGGCCAGGTTATCCTCAACATCTGTTGTAGTGCTAGGGCCGCGATCTTCAGCAATTTGCCGATGCACGTATTGCTATACGCGATAATAGTCCTCCCTTTGGCCCATCGCTTTTTCCGTTTCATGAGTATATACCCATACGGTAGAGCTTTTCGTAGGCAAGGAGCTTGGCATAGTGACATAGTGCTTGGCGACCACCTTGGGGGTATTGTTCTGCATGTTCTGCTTGATCTCGTCAGGGTCGGCGTCTAACATTCGGAATGTTTGTTTGTCCATCCAAGTATTGTAGGCTGCTTGGTTGTAGATGTTCGGGCAGTAGATCATGAGGTGCGCGTTGGCATGGTCCTCGTTGTGCACGATGTAGTCGTCAGGGATCATGGCCAAGATGTTTTTTGCCAGTCTGTGCGTGAGTCGTGGCTCTCGCTGAACTGAAGCTGTAGTTTATGATGCTTCCACTCTTGTTCGAAGAAAGCGTCAAAGTCGTCAAGTATGCGTTGATCTCGAGGAAATTGGTGGTGCTTGAGCCATCGTTGGAATTGTTCTTGATGTTGTCTCTTGATGCGCTGCTTGGAGGAGTAGAAGGCATTCCCGGCCCCAACGTTGCGGAAGGTCTGGTGTGTGTGGGGTAGCTGTAGGGTTTCCAAGCCAGTGACTACGTGTCCTTCATGTACTTGTGCTCGCGGATGTTGCTTGATGAATTTGGCGCACTGACACTCTGTAGGCTTCCAGTGTCTGCCCATATCGGTGACTTTCCGCTTGTGGTTCCAAAGAACTTGCTGTAGAGAGGGATGCGTTGCCTCCTGGACTGTCTTGGTGGGTAGATGGTATGGTATAAGTACATGTCGGTGAGTCCTGCTGAGTCGCACCAGGTACTTTTCGATGTTGGTGCTATGCGACGCATGTGCAAGGAGAGGAACTTTTAGGGGCTTGTTGTGCTTTGGGATCGACGCGTTCTTGAACTGCAGGACTTTGCGTAGTCTGGCTCGGGCTTTTGATCTCCACGGCTGCTCCATGTGGTTGGCGAGTCTGTAGAGCAGGGTAACTGTTTCTGCGTCGTGCTTGCCGCTGCGCAGCTCCTTGGAGGCCTCAAATTCTTGCTTGGTGTCGCTGGATATGGAATACAAGAGCTTCCAGAATTGGGCCTGCTTAGGTAGAGCATTGACAAGCGAAGGTCTCTGTCCTTGTACTCTTCGTCGGAGTTTTTTGAAAAGCTGTCGTCCCAGAGAATCTGGTGGGTGGCGAAGATGTGGTTGTTGGTGTTTGGGGACCAAACCATGCGCCTTCTTGACCAGCTCCTTCGTGACATACGGGTAGTTCAGCTTGGGCTGCCATCTCTGAATCAGGCTGTGTTCTTCGGCCCAGGCGTCAATGTACTCCGAGTGTTGCGAAAGAAGAATGGTGCTGTAGCGCTGGTAGGTCTGGGAGTCGTTCCAATATCGAATGGCAATCTCGGTTTTGGGTAGTTTGAGTTGTTGTAGTTGACGAAGTTTTGCGACTCTGTTGTATTCTCTCTTGGCCACAGTGATGTTGGTGGATCCGATGTAACAAAAGGATGCATCTCGGGTAGCAGTCGCATAGGCTTGCTTGTTGAGCCTTGGAAATAAAAGCTTGACGTACACTGCACAGGGCTGGGAGAATTTCTCGAACGTGTAGAGCTCTGGAACCGCGCCTTTTTCTCGAAGTCGCTCTTTTAGTTGCTCTGCTGCAGGCGATTGCCGCATTCTGTGGAAGGTGAATACTAGATGAATAAGTCCAACTAACCACATCAAAACTTCTTTATTAATAGCAGGAACATGAAAAAGCAAAAACTGCCCCCAATCCACTATCTGCTGTAGCTGCTGGAAGATATTGGCACTTTCTTGATGTGCTATGGGTCCTCTCAGGATTTTCTGCACGTGTCACACGGCGAGGTAGGTGACGGCCGCGATCAGCTGCTGAAGGTTCTTGGGCGAAGCCTTTGGCGCTGTAGTGAGAGAAATGGGGAGTCCCCATCGTGTCGCCATCTCCTGTAGCTCTGCCTTGGTGTACTTAGCGCCTTCGAGGATGGTCTGCACGGACTGTATGTGACTGTCCACTTCCGCGTGCTTTTCTCGGGGGAGGCTCTTCTTGAGATTGGTGACCCAAGTTGCAATCGAGGTCATACTTGTCGGTGGCTCTTGTCCATTGGTACGGATTACGTTGTGGGGCTCGGCGAGGATGTCCTCGTTGCGCTGCTTGATAGCTCCCTTTGTAAGGCGTCTGCGCTTTGGTGGTGCCGCTGTTGTTTCTGGACCATCTGTTGGCTCATTCTGCAGCCGTAGGGACTTCTGGGGGGTGACCTCGATGCCGGCGCTGCGCAGGCGTTGTTTGTACTTTGCGGTTTGCTCCTCCAGGGCCTGCATGCGCTGAGCTGCTTGGTTGTCGCCGTCGGTGTTCTTGGCGGCATAGTTGCGTACCTGTGCCCAAGGCTTGATGGCGTCAAGGATGGTGTCGACGAGGGGTGTGACAAAGGTAATGGCCTCTTTCACCTTGTCAGGGGCTTTTTGTCTTTTGCTTTTGTAGAGGGCGTCGACGGTGGCATCGATGTCGATGTTGTTCTCGCGGAGCTTCTTTTGAAGCTGGGAGAGGAAGACGCTCTCGGCGATGTTGCGGGTCAAAATCATGCCGGTGAACTTGCCGTGGGAAAGTCCTTGAAGTCCAAATTCCTCCATGCCATGTCTGCAAAGATGTGCAACGGTGACATCGCGGATGTCCATGCCTGCAAGTCCTTTGGCACGGCTCCAAGCCGTGGGCTCTATGGTCCTCTTCAAAGTTGCTTTGAATACGAGGTTCGTATCATAATGGTCCGGGTCCTCTGAAAACTGACTAGGAAGTGGTACCCGTGCCGTGGTTGCCGGTGTCGCCGGTGTGCCTGCTGCATTCGTTGGTTCAGGCGGTGTGTTGCACGGTGGTGGCGGTGGCGGCAAAGGTTGAGTAGATGGACTAGCGGCGGGTGGTGGCATAGGTGGCCACGTCGGTAAGGATGCTGGTGTCGACAAGGATGCTGGCGTCGGCGTGGATGGTGGCATCGGCGTGGATGCTGGAGTCGGCATCGATGCTTGAGACCACCATATTGGGTCGCCTTGGCTTGATGCGCTCCCACTGCCTGATGCCCACCACGTCGTATCCGATGCTCCCTGGGGCCAATATCCAGTCCATGTGTTCGCCATTGCTTGTGAAATTTTCTAACGTCTGAGGGCACCGTTTGGACACTAAAGGCTATCGAAAAAAGTTTTAAGGCAATACAACAAAGTAAAAGTAAAGCTTGCAGTGGCACAAAAGGCATAAAATGCATATACATCTTTTGCTGCGAAGAATGCGTTTTGCGGCGTCGCAGCTGTTGCCGGCTGTAAGCCAGTGGAAAATTGCAGCACGTTGCCGAAGGGGATGTTCAGGAAGAGCTTTTATGGTGCTGCAGTGGGTGCGCTGCTAGATGAGTGCAAGTCGGGCTCTTCCTTGTGGAGCTATGCCTGCAGCTTTCTGGTACTGGGAGATGAGGGTGTTCGCTGTGGAAGGCGGCGTCATCAGCTGCTCAAAAGCAATGCATGTAAAGCAATATCTGTTGCGAGATACGCAATAAGCTTTTGCATTCGCATCCTTGAGCACCTCATCCTCTTCAGTGGCTGCACGAGCTGTTTCATAGGATCCACCAAGGTGTTTGCGGAGAGATCCCCATGCACGGCCACCCACGACGATGCCTGCCAAGTTCTTGGCGCTGCGGGTGGTGTTGAAAATCACCCGGGTCAGGTTGTGTTCGTCGATGTCGGATCCGGACATCTCGTGTCCGAGCGCATAGAATATGTTGCAGCCGAATGCTGCCACTCCATGCGCGTTCATCGGACGCATGTTTCGCTCTTTCAACATGTTGAATAAAGCCCCCACATCTGTTGCATGCGACCAAAACAGGATCTTTTCTTGCCGAGTCGGTAGAGGAGGGTCTTGCAGAGTAAGATCCGAAGACTTCAAGAAATAGAATCTCCTCATTGTCTCTGGAGTTTGGATCTCCTCCTCTGTCCCATGTTAGGTCATGCTCCAAGAGAACCCCATTGTTGATCCTGAACTCCGCTGCAGCGCAAAGTGCATCTACATACTGCTTAGTAGAGTCATGTATGGGGAACTGCGGAATCTCAATGTCTCTCCAATTGACTCTGAATTGCTTGAGGTTCTTGTGGAATGTAATCGTTGAAGGAATCCGCGGAGTCTCGTACAGCTTGGGGTCAATCTTGGGTCGTTGTGACTGCGTCTTTGGTGCTGTCGAAGTGCCTGTGCTGCTGAGGCCCGATGCCCTGGAGCGCTGCATTGCCCTGGGGGAGCGAGATCTGGATGTTGTCCTGGGAGCGTGAGATCTGGATCTTGTCTTGGGAGTGTGCGATCTGGATCTTAATACCGCCCGCGGTCTGGTGGTTCTTGAATTGCTGGGGCTCCTTCGTGAGGAATTGCGTCTCGGAGATCTGGAGTCAATAGGTCTCTTTCGCACCAGCAGGGGTCTGGCGGCTCTTGCACTTGATGTTGCTGATAGTGGTGCTGGTGGTAGTGCAGGCAATCCCGACGAGGATGTGGGTCTCGGCGTAGGCGGAGCTTCTCCTGCTCCAAGTTGGTCACTTCTTTGGAAGTAAGGCCGAGGGGACATAGTGCGTCCCTGCCGTGAATGGGCCGGACGACTAACTTCGTCGTGGACCGGGCTTATGCCCCGGGCCGAGGGCGGCGCCTTCGGTACACGAAGGAATGGATCGCGTATATGTGGACGATTTGACCGTCCGCACCGGTCGCGTGGTAGACGGGAAGTTCTACACGGACCGCGACGCCGACAAGGCGACACGCGAAGCTTGCGCGAAGGGGGCTCGTGCGGCTCCCCAGAGCGCGGAATCGGCCATGGAAGCTCTCGGCTTCAAGGCTAAACTTAAAGGAGATGCGCGCGCGGCTGAGCCCGTGGCGCCTCCTGTCCCTGAAGGGCACCATGACGCGGCGCGCGCGGATACCACCCCACCCGGGCTTCCCCGGCTGTTCGCGGTGTTCGTGTTGGACGCGCGGGGCAGGTTCCACTGTACGCCTTCCGTTTTGCGGCTCGTTTCGTCGTTTTCGTTAGAGTCGTTCAGAAGTGTGTGCCCACGTCGTCTAAGGCGGAGATCACCTGGAGGAGCCAACCGCTGCATCCTGCGGCCAGCTGTCGAGCATTCATTGCAGGTCACGACCGCTCAAAGAAAATTGACTCTCCTTCAGGAGATAGAGCAACCGATAGTTCTTCTTCTTGTAGATTTCCATCAGACGAGTAAATGAATACTGATGGTTGTCATGGTCTTCGCAATGGAGATGTGGCATTAACTCGGTGGAGATGCAGGGAAATTGGAGGCCGGCCCCAGGCCCTCTTCCCTGCGAAACTCCTCCGCTGCATCCTTCCAGCGGTCCTGCGCCCTAGAGTGCCCCAATCTGAACCAGGGGCGTTCGCCATTTGGCAGTGACTGCGCCTGGTTCTCCTCTTGGGCGACTAACCGCTGAAGGAGGACCATCGCTTTGGCCTCAACAGCGTCGAAATGCGCAAAGCGCCTAAGCGGGTCGGAAAGTAAAACTTCTTCTTTTGTGGCCCGCGTATCCAGTAGGCCACGACCGCTCGGAGATCCCAACCTTCGAAGGTTGCCGCAGCACGAAGTCGCCACAGGGCGCTATGAAGTAGGCCCGCAGCCTGAATCGCTAGAATTCCATCCTCGAAGCCCGCCATCAGGCGGTCAGCAATGGCAATCTGGAGACGGCCCACTAAGCCAGCGGGAACCTTGCAAGTGATTCGCACCTCAATGTGCTGGCCGTCACGGGTTGGGGTGACGTTGGTGAGCTGCAGAAGTGGAGCGGCCGTAGGGTCGTCAGCTAGCGCTCGGGTGAGAAAGAACAGCAGCTGTACTGGCAGCAACACACCGCAGTGCAGCGTGTTCCCTGCGTCATCTCAACTCGTGCTGCCTCCCCCAGTAGTGCGCCGCTGGCTGGAACCAGCGCCCCGCCCGCCGGCTATTTGTCGGCAAGGGGTCTGGCTTGGCGGTGGGGTCTCGCTCAGGAGCCAAGGACATTTGCACCAAGCTGCCGTCCCGGACTGAGAATCCAGGCCCTTACAGTCGCTGCAGCCCCCCAGGTGCCCCTCACAGTCGCTACAGCCCCCCAGTCAGGTGCCTCTCGCAGTCACTGCAGCCGCCCAGGTCCTCACAGTCGCTGCAGTTCTCATGTGCCCCTCAAAGTCGCTGCAGGTGCCGGGTTAAAGCCCCCATGTGCCCCTCACAGTCGCTGCAGCCCCCTGCCTCACAGTCGCTGCAGCTCCGCCCTCACAGTTGGGCCCGTTGTTGTACCGGTCCTGTTCGGCCAAAATGTTCTGCCTAAATGTTCTGCCGGGCCCATTTCCCACAGCTAATGCTCAGTTAGCACTCAGTTAACACTCAGTTAACACTCAGTTAACACTACAGTTAACACTACAGTTAACACTGCCGAAATGCTGCAAAAACCAGCATTTTCTTCAAATGTGTATAAAAGACACTAAAACCACCTGTTTTTTTTTTTTAAACATGTATTCTTCAAAATGCTGGTTTTTGCGGCATTTCGGCAGTGTTAACTGTAGTGTTAACTGTAGTGTTAACTGAGTGTTAACTGAGTGTTAACTGAGTGTTAACTGTAGAAACGGCACGCTATACAGTTAACACTTATTACTCTGCCGAAATGCAAGGAAAACCTGCCTTTCCTCAAATCTGTCTTAGAAGTCCCGGTCCTTGACACACAGTGACACACCGACACACGATCGATATTGTGGCTTGTCATCACTTGCATACTGCTTACTGTGACGACAGTGTAAGGTACGAAGGATCCTTCTCGCTGAGACAAAGTAGCCTGTGTCTTCAATCGACTGTACCAAGCATCCTGTGACGGGTACCATCCACATGCAGACCAAGCCCGAGACATGTCCAAGAAAGCGATACGGCAAGCTTGTTGGCACCGCTGCTTGCTATAAGTACGGCCCAAGACCACACAAGCCGACTGTGGTTGCAGGCTTCCAGGATGCGACTTTTTTTAGCACCCTGACCCGGGTACTCCACTTCGATCCAAGTCTGCTCCATGCCGCTCCGCGGCACTCCGGTGGGACTCCCACAGCTCCTCGTGTATTTTGGCTTAGTGTAAAATCCTTACATTTCCCACAGCTAATGCTCAGTTAACACTCAGTTAACACTCAGTTAACACTCAGTTAACACTACAGTTAACACTACAGTTAACACTGCCGAAATGCTGCAAAAACCAGCATTTTCTTCAAATGTGTATAAAAGACACTAAAACTACCTGTTTTTTTTTTTTAAATGCATGTATTCTTCAAAATGCTGGTTTTTGCGGCATTTCGGCAGTGTTAACTGTAGTGTTAACTGTAGTGTTAACTGAGTGTTAACTGAGTGTTAACTGAGTGTTAACTGTAGAAACGGCACGCTATGCAGTTAACACTTATTACTCTGCCGAAATGCAAGGAAAACTTGCCTTTCCTCAAATCTGTCTTAGAAGTACCCCGGTCCTTGACACACAGTGACACACCGACACACATGGTGAGATGGTGAGGGATCGATATTGTGGCTTGTCATCACTTGCATACTGCTTACTGTGACGACAGTGTAAGGTACCGACAGGATCCTTCTCGCTGAGACAAAGTAGCCTGTGTCTTCAATCGACTGTACCACGCATCCTGTGACGGGTACCATCCACATGCAGACCAAGCCCGAGACATGTCCAAGAAAGCGATACGGCAAGCTTGTTGGCACCGCTGCTTGCTATAAGTACGGCCCAAGACCACACAAGCCGACTGTGGTTGCAGGCTTCCAGGATGCGACTTTTTTTAGCACCCTGACCCGGGTACTCCACTTCGATCCAAGTCTGCTCCATGCCGCTCCGCGGCACTCCGGTGGGACTCCCACAGCTCCTCGTGTATTTTGGCTTAGTGTAAAATCCTTACATTTCCCACAGTTAATGCTCAGTTAACACTCAGTTAACACTCAGTTAACACTACAGTTAACACTACAGTTAACACTGCCGAAATGCTGCAAAAACCAGCATTTTCTTCAAATGTGTATAAAAGACACTAAAACTACCAGTTTTTCTTTTTAAAATGCATGTATTCTGCAAAATGCTGGTTTTTGCGGCATTTCGGCAGTGTTAACTGTAGTGTTAACTGTAGTGTTAACTGAGTGTTAACTGAGTGTTAACTGAGTGTTAACTGTAGAAACGGCACGCTATGCAGTTAACACTTATTACTCTGCCGAAATGCAAGGAAAACCTGCCTTTCCTCAAATCTGTCTTAGAAGTACCCCGGTCCTTGACACACAGTGACACACCGACACACGATCGATATTGTGGCTTGTCATCACTTGCATACTGCTTACTGTGACGACAGTGTAAGGTACGACAGGATCCTTCTCGCTGAGACAAAGTAGCCTGTGTCTTCAATCGACTGTACCACGCATCCTGTGACGGGTACCATCCACATGCAGACCAAGCCCGAGACATGTCCAAGAAAGCGATACGGCAAGCTTGTTGGCACCGCTGCTTGCTATAAGTACGGCCCAAGACCACACAAGCCGACTGTGGTTGCAGGCTTCCAGGATGCGACTTTTTTTAGCACCCTGACCCGGGTACTCCACTTCGATCCAAGTCTGCTCCATGCCGCTCCGCGGCACTCCGGTGGGACTCCCACAGCTCCTCGTGTATTTTGGCTTAGTGTAAAATCCTTACATTTCCCACAGCTAATGCTCAGTTAACACTCAGTTAACACTCAGTTAACACTCAGTTAACACTACAGTTAACACTACAGTTAACACTGCCGAAATGCTGCAAAAACCAGCATTTTCTTCAAATGTGTATAAAAGACACTAAAACTACCAGTTTTTCTTTTTAAAATGCATGTATTCTGCAAAATGCTGGTTTTTGCGGCATTTCGGCAGTGTTAACTGTAGTGTTAACTGTAGTGTTAACTGAGT